AATACCAGCACGGAGCCCTGGTGGAGCGTGTCTGATGCAGTCAAGCGAAACTTGACTGGCGTCTGAGTGGGGCCAGGCGGGCAGCTGTCTGCGGCTTTCCACGGTTCTCAGGAGCAAGGTGGGCTGAGCACAACTCATCTAAGTCTCTGCGAAGAACAGAAGACACCTCCCAGAGCGACGAAGATCAGGACTGACTGGGAAACCAGCAAGCTGCTTGGATCCACTGGGCAGAGACAAGAGCCTGAGACGTCTGGAAATATGTCTGGCATGGTGTAATTTCACAAGCCAACAAAGCTGTTACGTAAGCAGGAAAAGGCGCAAAAGGGCTCACACTAAGATGACACTGACTCCCTCCAGTCCAGGTGTGGAATGCTGAGGCCTCAGAGAGGACCTGGCAGCTGCACTCCGGCCACCTCTGGCAATGGGGTCTGTTGCAAGGGTTGTGGGGAGCCCGCTCAGCCCCTCTCAGGCAGGCTTTGAAGACAGCTGGAGGGCCTTCCTCACCTCTCAGGGTCCAGCCACAAGCGGGCATCCTTCCCTCCTGCTCCTGTGTCCCTGCCATGTGTTCTGCGACCCAGCAACTCTCCACAGGGAGGACCCTACTTAACAGTCACTTCATGGCCCTCAGACCCTCCTTGTGCCCAGGCTATGGATAATGCAGCCTCCGCTCTAGCCAGCTCAACTCAGGGTTAGGTGATGCCACATACTGGTATAGCTTCCTCAGCAGAGGCTACGGGCATGACAGACACTTAAGTGTTTGATCTAATGAGACTTCCTATTCTAAATGCTACAGAGGTCTAATAGGAAGTCCACACAAAAGTGAGGCTCACAGGTCACGCCAGGGACTAGCCCCAAACTCCCTTGGCCACGTCTGCTTCCACTTTCCCGTGTGTGACTCGTGTCCAAATTGAAGTAGACTACAGGTCATTCTCCACCTCCCCCTGCCAAACTCCTGCTTCTACATCAGATTCCAATAGAACTTTCTGTCATGATGGAAATGTTCTCTGTCTGTGCTGGCCAATATAGTAGCCCGTGGCCTCCTGTGACTACTGAGCCTTGATCATGGGCTAGTGTGATTAAAGAACTGACTTCTTAATTTGATTTTCATTAATCTTAATTTAAATAGCCTCCTGTAGCCCGCGGCTCTGGTATTATACAGTTCTAGACTCTCCACGAAGCACTCTCTGCCCTCCTGGCCCGCACACTGAGGGCGCCTCTCCCACTGACCCTTTCTCTAGCACTTGACACAGCTCCTTTCAGGTCTCAGGCCCTTCATGAGACGAAACTTCTTCAGATCCAGGTAGGGTTTGGGTTTCTCTGGATCTCACAAAGCAGCCACTCAGTAAAAGAACTCACTACGTGTTTGTCCTATTCAGTGGGACCAGACTTTGTCCCTACTTAGATTAAGTATTGGGCTTCTAGGAATGGCTACTCAGCTAGTCTGGGGAAGTCTGTAAACTTTCATAGGTATCAGCCAGGGAGTGGTCCCTCCAGCCATGCCCTGAGTTCATTTCTATGGAAACCCAGTTACATTTCCACTCAGTTCGATGGGTGCCGTTTTTTAGTGGTGTGGCCTTAACTTTATCAAGTCTCAATTTCTTCACCCATATAACAACTCTATAACATACTCTATAAGGAAGTTATGAGGATAAAATCAGTCAACACATATAAAGCACTGTGCTTGACACAAAGTAAGTGTATGATACAGTAGATGATAAAGTATATAATAAGTAGTGAAATTACTAACATTTAAGGGTTGACAGTTGAGACTAGCTTGGGTCTAAGAGGTACCTCTGAACTTAGCATTAAATTATCAAATATCTTTAAAAAATGCGTATCCTTAGACCCAATAACTTCACCTCTAATAATTTTAAAACACTCGTGCATATAGGCCAAAATGTACTTACAAGAATAGTCATGACAGTGTTACAAAAGTGGAAAAATTAGAAAACCTGTAGATATCAAACAGTAGCTGCTAATCAGATCAATTATATAGTTCAGCCTTACGACACAATGCTTTGTAGTCATTAACAAAAATAAGACCGGGCGCGGTGGCTCAAGCCTGTAATCCCAGCACTTTGGGAGGCCGAGGTGGGTGGATCACGAGGTCAAGAGATCGAGACCATCCTGGTCAACATGGTGAAACCCCGTCTCTACTAAAAATACAAAAAATTAGTGGGGCATGGTGGTGCGTGCCTGTAATCCCAGCTACTCAGGAGGCTGAGGCAGGAGAATTGCCTGAACCCAGGAGGCGGAGGTTGCGGTGAGCCGAGATTGTGCCATTGCACTCCAGCCTGGGTAACAAGAGTGAAACTCTGTCTCAAAAACAAACAAACAAACAAAAATGATCACCTGGCAAAGAAAAAAAATCAGGCATAGAAGTGCTAATTCCACCCCTTCCATCACCCTAATAAAGCTAGTTAATATATTTAAAGAAAAATACTCTAGGCAAAACTGCGACTCTTCGGGGGTCATAGCATTATGAGTGATTATTTCCCCTTCGTGCTTTTTCTGTATTTTTAAAAATTTTGCATCAAAAATATCACTACTTTTGTAATTATGAAAAATGTAGCTTTAAATAATCTTTCATAACATGGGAAAATGACATAAATATTGAAAAGGTTAAGAAAGACTCATGGTGTGAAAATATAACCACTGAGCGGAAAATGGAAGCCACATGCCTGGTGTGTTAACTGTGGTTAGCTCTGGTTTTAACTCAGGCTTTTTGATTAGGGGAGTGGATGTTCTAGTTTGCTCTGGCAAATCCCAGTTTTTTCTTCTTTTGTTGTTGTTTTTGAGTTTCGATCTTGTCACCCAGGCTGCAGTGCAATGGCATGAAATCAGCTCACAGCAACCTCCTCCTCCTCCCAGGTTCAAGTGATTCTCCTGCCTCCACCTCCCGAGTAGCTGGGATTACAGGTGTGCACCACCACGCCTGGTTAATTTCATGTGTTTAGTAGAGATGGGGTTTCTCCATGTTGGTCGGGCTGGTATCGAACTCCTGACCTCAGGTGATCCACCTGCCTCAGCCTCCTGAAGTGCTGGGATTACAGGTATGAGCCAACGCGCCAGGCCAAATTCCAGTTTTACACTTGTGACCAGCTGGCCAAATGGTGTCCTTTCCTGCTCAAAATTATCCTGCTAAAATTACACACCCAACCTCATGATAAGGAGTTCTAATTTTCTCCTTTGTGTTTTTCTAGACTTCTAAATTCTAGTGAACTCAATGTGTTTCCTTAATTCCAATTTGTACCTTTTTCTTCCACATTTTGATGTTGTTGAGATTGGAATGTACTATACAACAGATTGGCGCTCTTCCCCCACCAACCTAGCAAGTTATAAAAATCAATGGTCATAAGGTTGGTGGGTCCTTAGAATTGAGGAAACGTAGCACATTAATTTACAAATGGGAAAAATAAAGAAAATACATCAAATTCTCTTTTTTTATCCCCTGGAAAGTCAAGATTCTAAGACCTGGAGAACTGGATAAAATCAGACAGATGAAATCCCTGTATAAGCTGGCTCTTACTAGGGTTAGGAGCTAATGTTTCCCGCAGGTTCTCCGATGAAGTCAGTAACAAAATAAAAGGACGTGATTGCCAAGAAATCTTCTCCAGGACCAGCAGGAGTGGGATCTACCGCCCCTCTGGAGACATAAGCTTTTTTATAATGAGGTGAAATAATACTAGTATTGATCATAACTTTCATAAATGGCTAATACTCATTAGGCACTTACCAAGTACAAGGCATTAGGGCTGTCAAATTATTAGACAACCCTATCATTTCCCTCACTCTACAGATGAGGAAACTGAGGCACAGACAGGCACCTGCTCTAGGCCGTAGAGCTGTCTGCACAGAGTTGGGATTCAGTCCTTTTTATCTGGCTCCAAAGTCTGCTTTTTAACCACTGACACTGCTTCCTGCCTCTTGTATGTTTTTTCTACATGTTGGGCCTCTGATCTCTGTTTTCAGCAAAGCTCTAACTATAAAGGTTTCCCAGGTCAGGACAGTGGCTCATGCCTATAATCACTGCACTTTGGGAAGCCGAGGTGGGCAGATCTCTTGAGCTCAGGAGTTCAAGACCAGCCCAGGAGTTCAAGACCAGCCTGGGCAACACGGCAAAACCCCCTGTCTACAAAGAGTTGCAAAGTTAGGTGGGTGCAGTGGCCCACACCTGTGGTCCAGCTACTTGGAAGGTTGAGGCTGGGAGGATTGCTTGAGGCCTGGGAGGTTGGGGCTGCAGTGAGCCATGATCATGCCACTGCATTCCACTCTGGGTGACAGAGTGAGACTGTTATAAGAAAAAAAAAAAGAAAAAGAAAAAACGTTCCCCAAGGGCTCAGTGGTTTGGGAGAGAGGGCAAGAAGCTAAAACAAGATCTCTGTAACCAGATATTCTGATTCCTTTGGTCTTGGTAATGGGGTATAAAAGAATACCCAATACTGCATTAATGTACTGTGGCTATTTTCCAAGAATGGCCACAGCAACACTTTCAGTTTCATATGCTCTTGCAGAACCTTGCCACTCCCTACCAAGAAGTAGAGTCTGTTTCCTCTCCCGCTGAAGCTGGGCAGGGCTTGGTGGCCGCCTGTCATGTGATGGAAGTGACACAGGGTGACCTGCAAGGCGAGGTCGCAGCCTACAATAGCAGTTCTTCCTGCTCCACACTCTCAGGCTGCTCATCCTAGGAACCCTGGTACCATGTTACGAGAGGCTTCGACCACTGGAGAGGCCGTGTGTAGCCGTCATGGCCCATCGGGCCCCCAGCCAGCATCAACTGCAATGTGAGACCTTAAGCCTTCAAATGACTCTGGCCCCAGCTTTCCAGTCTTCCCAGCCGAGGCCTCAGGCTTCGAGGAGTAGAGACAAGCCTTCACTGTGCCCTGCCTGAATTCCTGACCTGCAGACGTGGTGAGAATAAGTGGTTGTTTTACACCACTAAATTTCTGAGTGATCTGTTACGGAACAAGCACTTAACCAGAAAAAGGGCCTATCCGGCCTCTATTGAAAGTAACATATGCATTGTTCTGGGTTTCATGTTCTGATTCTTTGCACAGGGAAGTTGAAATCTATCCAGAGGACAGTGACAAGCACAGGTGTGAGAGAGACACCATCTGTGACCTGCACCTGGGGGTCTGGCTTCAAAATGTGTCCTCAGCAGATACTCTTGGGATGGCTCAGCTAAAAGGCAGCTGTCACCTCTGAGAAGCTTGTTACTGAGTATTATACAATGAAACTACCCTGGTGGCCAAACCTTGAGAATGGCTTGATAAACACCCACCTCCATACTACATCACTGGAGTTCTGTTCGTTCTGAATCCTCTGCAAGACTAGAGGCTCTAACAGAGCTAAGTGCTGGGCCTGGAGGCTCCACGCTCTGCTTCAGGTCAATGAAGAATGCCATTGACAGAGGCACTTGTGAGAGCTCTTGGTTTTGGTTTTCCAGTAGCCACAGAAACCAGGAAGGAGCAGTAGGAAGACACAGAACTGCCTCCACCCTCCTCTCAGCCCCTACCCCGAGCAGCTTGTAAGAATCATTTACTCATGTTTCCTGTAAGACTCCATTTGAACACAGAGTTCTACCAGCAAATACGTCCACATATTGATTTTTCATAAAATGAAATGCAGCCACTCTTCAGTGCCACAGCAGAGGTAGGTCCTTTTGAGTTTGGTGTGCTCGTAACACCCGTCGTGTGCTTTGTGACAATGCAATGATCTGATCACTTTTCTCTATCCAAGCTACTATCCTGCTGGCCTCAGAAGGATGAGAGGCATGTGGACAGTGCTGTCACTGCAGTAACCCCAGCTGAAGCCAGCAGCCAACCCCCAGCCGCAGAAGCAAGCCTGATTTATAAGGAGCAGAGCCAATCCCCAGCTGACCTCAGTCATGTGAGTAATGCACTCTTATTGTCGTATGCCCTGAGGCTTTGTGCCTACAGTTATGATGGCTGGACTTAGGATAGCTCAACTTATGATTTTTCAACATTACAATGGTGTGGAGTGATATACATTCAGTTCAACATCAATATATGACTTGGTTATTCAATACTTTATTACCAAATAGGCTTTGTATGAAATGATTTTGCTCAACTGCAGGCTAATGTAAATGTTTTGGGCATGTTTAAGGTGGGCAAGGCTAAGCTATAATGTTTGGTAGATTCCAGGTATTAAATGCATTTTTCACCTAACAGTACTTTTAACTTACAATGGATTTCTCAGGAGTAACCCTACCATAAGTATCTGTATTTGTTATTCAGCAGAAGCTAACTGATAGATTTGTTTTCAGAACTTTCCTGGTTTCCCTGTCAGGCAACCCCAGCTTTCAAAAAGGAAAGGAGAATGAAGTGATTTATTCAAGGATTATTTATTGAGGGCTAAACACATGTCCAGCTCTGTGCTTGGCATTAGGGATAAGAGACTGGTTGCCATTTTGCCAAAGAGAATCCTAAGGAACCTTGACACAGAAGAAAGCTCTTTGGCCACTATCCTGGGGAAATAAGTATTTGGAGAAGCTGTGGGGCTGGTCCCAGCAGGAGGCCTGGCACCCAGCCCTGGGTACGTGCCAGAAGCGAGTGCCTGTTGAGCTTCACAGTGTGGGTGTAGGCTGCCTTGATTAAAACCCCAGGCAGCACAATGCCAAGTAAATGCCAGCCTGGGGAAGAAGAAATTAGTCTGGGATAAAAAATGGCAAAGCAAGAATACAAAAGCCATTAAGGGATTTGTAAGCACGTGTCACGGATGAAGAATCGCTATTGTTAAGAATGTGTGATCATTGCGTGGTGCCCCGTGGGCCCTGGGGAAGGAAGTCTGAGTATTCGCCAAAGGCTGGCTGTCCATCAGAGGAAGGAAGGCTGGACAGGCGCGATAAAGCACAGCTAGCAACCCCCACAGGTCGGATGGTCACTCAACATAGCCAGAAGGGGCCAGTTCACCCCGCTGGGCCTCAGTTTCCTCATCTTTGGCATGCGGAATAATAATCAAATGTGCCATAAAGAGTTAATAAAAGGATTAAATGAACCAACTCGGGCAAAATATTTAGAACAGTCTGGTATGGCTCCAGTACAAGCTCAACAAATGTTGGCTTTTTTTTTTTTTTTTTTTGAGACAGAGTTTTGCTCTTGTCGCCCAGGCTGGAGTGCAGTGGCACGATCTCAGGTCACTGCAACCCCTGCCTCTGGGTTCAAGCAATTCTCATGCCTCAGCCTCCCGAGTAGCTGGGATTACAGGTGCCTGCCACCATGCCCGACTAATTTTTATATTTTTAGTAGAGACAGGGTTTCATCATGTTGGCCAGGCTGGTCTCAAACTCCTGATCTCGTGATCCATCTACCTCGGCCTCCCAAAGTGCTGGGATTACAGGCATGAGCCACTGCGCCCCGCCAGATGTTAGGTATTAAAACTCCTTTTAGAAGTTTGTTGGGAGAAACAGATGGGATAATGTTTCAGGTCTTGGCACAAAGCAGCACAAAAATGATGGTTCCTCTAAGTGCAGCGTGTGATCACCAGGAGATGAGCTCGACATGAGGACAGCTGAGACGTGGACCCTGTCCTAAAGGGTAAGGAGCTCAAGATCCAGAAACAGTAACAGCGACAAAATGGGATAAATGCCACCAGAGAGCTACGATTTGTGAGGAATGATGCCGGGAGAAAAGAGGTCAGGCACGTCCCCTATGAAGAGTACACGTGGCCCTGGTGTGGCCTCCACCAGAGGATTCCAACACACAGAGAAGGGGAAGCGGAGGCTTCCGGCAGTGGGAACACAGCCACAGAAGGCATGGGGCGGGAAAGCACAAGGGCATATTTGGGAACAAGAGGGTGGTTGTCCATGTTAGGCAAACAGCACGGACATGTGAAGAGGTGTGACGGGAAGCAAAGCTGGCAGGATGCAGGGGGCATCAGATTCCAAGCTGGAGAAGTAGGCGTGGCAGGTGGGCAACGGGGAACCAGTGAAGGTTATTAAGCAGAGCAGAACCACAGCAGAACTGCTCTTAAGGAAAATGAATCTAATAGCAGGTGGACTGGAGATGGGAGAGAAGACACACCGAAGTCAGTTTGCAGGAGGCTGTGTCGGTTCTAGCAAGGTAATGGGGACTGAGATCAGAATACTGGCCAGAGGAAAGGGGAGAGGGGCTGGGTGGCAGGGGAGCCGGGTGGGAGGGGAGCCGGGTGGGAGGGGAGCCAGGTGGGAGAGGAGGGCGGCAGGGGGCAGAAAGGCCCCCGGGAGCCTCCAGGGACTCAGGCTGCAAGGGGAGTTGGGGAGCAGGGTCGCCTCCTGTAGGAGGGTACAGAAAGCTGATGAGACCAACAGAAAAAGTACCCCGATGGCTTGGCTGCCCAGATTCCTCAGACTGTGGACAATATGCTCACGCTGAGCTGAGGATTCCATCTGTGCAAACTCTCCCACAAACTAAACTGCTGAGCCAAGCAAGCAGGCCGCAGGCCCTGCCACCTCTGCAGGCCACTAGCCGGCCCCTCTCCTGCCCCAGCCCCAGCTCCGAGGAACAGCTTCCCGGGCGGCCTCTCCCACCGGCTTGCTGGCCGCTGCATGTTCTAGGGAGCAAAAAGCCAGCTGTGGTGGACCGCCCTGCCCAGGCAGACGGCGGGGCTGTGGCATGGCCACCTTGCCCCTTTCTTCCTCTTCCGGCCTTCTCGACCGTGTCCCCAGTTCAGAGGCATGGCCACTGTGACCTGCAGCCCCAGGTCCGGCTGAAGTCATCGCAGAAGCAGGCGTGACATCAGCCCTCCCCTGCTGCCCGCGCTTGCCTTTGCTCTCTCACTTTTGTGTCATCTGAGCGCCAGGTGGAAACAGAGACCTCCCTCCAGAAAGTCCCCCACTTTGCTGGACTTCGCTAGGCCGGAACCTGGCCACTCCCGACATTTCCCCTGCAGCGTCATTTTCAGGCCTCCTGGCGGCTGCAAAAGCCTCCGGTGCAAAGACAAAGGCCTTTCAGTCCCCACGAAGCAGGCTCCGGCTCTGCCCGGATCTGGACGCCTCTGGAGGAAGCAGGGAGGCCACCAAGAGACGTGGATGGAAGGTTGGTCCTCGGCCATGCCTCCTCTCACGTGCCTGGTAATGGAGAACTAGACCGCTCGGATAAATGCAAAGAAGCTGTTCTTCTGAGGTGACAACAGGGACCGAGCACTTGGTAGGACCTCAATAATGTGAGGCAAATCAGTTCGAAGCCAGCTACTGGACTCAAAGACTTCTTCCTAAATCCTGTTCCTGAACTGAGTTGTGTAACTTCGTGTTTTTCTAACATGTAGGCAAAAAGGAGAAGCGGATAAAGCCAAAAGAACACCAACCACAGAGAGAGGAAAGAGAGGCCAGGATTCAGAATAACCCACACAGGACTATGAATACGTGAATATTGCAAAGGAAAGGGCCCAAAGTGGGCTGAGTCATTAACAAGCTTACAGAGAAGCCCCAGGCTATCAAAAACCCTCCATAAAATATTACATATCATATCCAACATATATAAGAAGTAGAAATGCTTGGGAGGCCGAGGCAGGCGGATCACGAGGTCAGGAGATCGAGATCATCCTGGCCAACATGATGAAACCACATCGCTAGTAAAAGTACAAAAAAAACTAGCCGGGCATGGTGGTGTGTGCCTGTTCTCCCAGCTACTCGGGAGGCTGAGGCAGGAGAATTGCCTGAAACCAGAAAACGGAAGTTGCAGTGAGCCAGGATCACACCACTGCATTCTAGCCTGGCGATAGAGCGAGACTCTGTCTCAAAAAAAAAGAAAAAAAAAAAAAGAGAAGTAGAAATGCACCACAGCTAAGGTTTATCACAGGAATGCATGCCTGGTTCAGTATTTCCAAACGTTTCAAATGTGTATGCCTTATGAACAGACAAAACAAGAAAAGGCATACAGTCGTATCAATTGAGGCAGAAAAAGCCTCTGACAAAATTCAATATCCAGTCATGACAAAAGAAAAAACTTTCAGCAAGCAAGGATAGGAGGGAACTTCCTTAACTGAGAAAGGGCATTTACAAAACAACCCACAGCTAACATCATGCTTGGTGAGATACTGCACGCTTTCTCCCTAAAATAGGGAATAAGGAAAAGATGTTCTTTCTCACATTCTTATACCGCTGGAATTTGCAATAAGGTAAGAAAAAGAAATAAAGGCATATAGATTGAAAAGGAAGAAACAAAAACTACTTCACTGGTAGACAACATGATCTATGTAGAAAATCTCATAGAATTACTAAAAACCTCCTTAGAACTAATAAATAACTTTAGTAATGTCATGGGATACAAAATCAATTCACAAAAATCAACTGCATTTCAATATCTTAGCAATGAACAACTGAAGTTAAAAATTAAAAACAAAGGAGAGGACTATTTACAACAGCAGCAAAAAGGGAAATATTTGTTAGGTATAAATCTAACCTTACAGTATGATGAAAACGACAGAACGCTGGGGAAAGAAAGAAGACCTAAATATTTGGAGGGGCTCACCATGTTCATGGATTGAACAACACACTATTGTTAATGAGCCAGTTCTCCCCAAATGGATATGCAGGTTCAACACAATTTCAATCAAATCCCAGCGATAGGCTTTATTACTATTATTTTTGTAATATTGGAAAACTGATTGTACAATTCATATGAAAACGGAAAGGAATTAGAATAACCAAAACAATTTTTCAAAAGAACACCATCCAATTTCAAGATTTACCATTAAGTTACAGTAATCAAGACAGTGTGGAATTGGTGAGAGCACAGACACACAGATCAATGCAGCAAGACACAGTCCAGTAATAGACCCACATGAACATAATCAACTGGTCTTTTAAGAGAAGTATAGGCCGGGCGTAGTGGCTCACACCTGTAATCCAAGCACTTTGGAGGCCAAGGCAGGCGGATCACCTGAGGTCG